CATTATTTTTGCGTTTTTCAAAATCGAATAACTTTTTTTTCAGTTCTAATATCAAAAAAATAAAAACAACGTTGCACAGTTGAAATTCCCTTTTATCTGTTGTGAGAATTTCRTTTYTTAGTTATGACTGTAGCCTTCTCGGTTCTTTCCCGCGCGAAACAGTTTTTGCAATGTTACTTACTTGTAAGACGAAGACAACACATGCAGGTGTAGCGTCCTCTTAATACAGAAATTAATGATGATAATGAGTGTTCTATAAGAATCGTTCTGAATAAAGGTATAAATTAAAWTTTTTTTTTTAAGAAAATAAACAATCTATGTTAGTGAAGAACAATAAGTAAATATGATGACAAAATATACAGGCGAGACATGAATTATATGAGGAAGAAATCATTCCATTGATAGAACGCCAACGCAATATAATTTTACTGTGAATTTATTTGAGTAAGTATATCAATAATTTATATCTGGGAATTGGTAGTAGGAGGTGTATTCTGCAGCTTAGTTTTTTCTTTCTGATTTTAAATGTAGACCCCAGGTTAGTCTTTTATTGAGAATAATTTCAAGAGTTCCAAGATATTTGACTTCCGATGAATTAAGGAATATGTGATTTTTAAAAATATAGTGATGATTAATGAGCATTCGGTTGTTTCAAGTGTGAAATTTACATAAGTTGACTTCTCGGGGATTATTCTGATATGCCATTTGGCTACACAGTTTTCAATTAAGTTTAAGTGATTTTAATTAAACAATTAACAATATTAATCTGTATTATTACATAATTTTGTCAATTGGTTTTGTCTTTTCCAGAAAACATTACTTATATATCTTATTTGAATTTTTATAATATATATTAATACATTATCTACCTATTACATAATAATGGGTAAATCTAGTTATGAATGTAATATCATATATCATGATATGTGTGTTTATGTATAGCATATTATGTCTATATAAGACAAAATTACAAATGTTAAATCAAAAGTTCATAATAATTATTCATCAACAGAAATCAATCTATATATCCATATCTCATTCAATATTTATTATGATTGTAAGAAAGAGAGTATCAGTACTACAGATGAATTATTAGTCATAAAAACTGGGTGGGCAAATGCCACAGGCTGAAAACTGATGAGGGCCTTAGCCTAACCAAAAATACTATTTTTTTTTTTTATGGAAGACTGCAGATACATACTCATAACACAATAATATTTTTTTGGTATTTGACATAAATTTTAACTTTAAATGGAGATGTTATCATTTGTTTTTTAAAAATTTAAGAGACCACAGAAAATATATGGTATGGCCCTACGGGTCCTAATATCCTAATTACACCACTGTATAAGTAAATATGTTATAACTAGGGCTCGAATTTTGTAACAAAATAAATCCTTAAAAAAGCATTTTAAGTAGGTAGCCAAAATAAAGTGTTTATTAATTTAATTCTAAAAAAGCAAATTTCAATTACACATAAAATTAAATATTAAAAAAACACTATACGCTTATACCTCACTGATTGTCGATTGATATTTACTGACCAACTTAAGTATTAGAATGTGTTATAAAAATACGTAGGTATAATTCAGATAATTTTCCCTTTCCTTGAGTCATAAATACAACTATAGATAATTATAGATAAAACTATTTTGGCACAATAACGACAGTTATTTTATCAGACATATATTTATTACTGGTTTTTTCGCTGGTTTTATAATTTCTGGTAATAATAATTTAGTCCAAAATGTACAATATACATAGAAATATGCTAAGTTTTCAAGAAAAATATGTAAAAATCAAGAAAAAATAACCAAATAGGGGAAAAAGCAATAAAAGGCAGATTTTGTGGAAAAAAGCAAAAAAAAAGTTTACTTCATTACAATCAGAACAATTCAAAACGTATTTATATATAAGAATTATCTTTCTATCACACTCCCCTCAAAAGAATCATTTGCTGCAAAATCCGAGCCCTAGCTATAACAATATTTAGGTGTATGTCGAGACACAACGCTGTTGAAACGAGACAGGATGTTATAGGGAAACTATACTAGAACAAACCCCAGATTTTAGAGTAGGTCTCTTTAAAAATTTTAGCGAATTATACCTAAACTATAGCTCACGTTATATATATATATATATTAAAGTATAATAATTAAACAAAAAAACAAAAGGCAATAACTGAAGAATCATAATAACAATATTATTTCACATTTACTCGTACCTATTATCATTTTTTGATGATAACGGATATAAATATTTAGTGTTCTAGGCTAAAACCACGATTTATAGATAGAATTAATTATCGTCTATTATAATCGTGACCGAAATCAAAAATTAATAATATTACGTCTAGTCGTCTTATCAATGATAACGACAACGACGACGTAGCTGCGGACAAGTAAGTTGTCGACGTCGCAGTCGTTTTACTCGACGTCCATTGACCTTGGTGGCCGACACGCACAAAGGATTCGGTGTAACCTCACCTGCATCGTGACGATCCGATCGTCGACCATCACCTCTTTGGTCAGGAAATCGGCGCCGATGGTTGCCTTATATTGGTTGGTGAACTTCTTGTTGACGTATTGATTCATTAGCGAGGTCTTACCCACACTCGAATCTCCCAATATGATCACTTTCAGCARAACCTTCTTCCTGGTCGCCATGATCGCGTTTTTATGCGCGTAACCAGTGAATATCGGCGATGGTAGTATTGAACTGCACGAACCGATATAACCTGCGAAATTGCGCCAAGAGTTAATACACACACACACACATAACACACTATCGCATGCCCGTGATCAATGATATTACTCTTTGTTACGAAAACGAAATCGTAAAAATTGAACAAAAAAACAAAAAACACTTGGCACTTACTTGTGTCCAACTGAATTTATTGTTCTTTTTAGTAGGCAGGTGAAACGCAAAAGATTAATACGAAAACAATCGACTGCGTCGCAGTAAAAACGAATGATAATAAAGATCACGACACGATTATGCAATAAATATTGAATAAGTAAATATCTGTTCTATTGTATTCCAATGTGCGTGTGTATCAAATTATGTACATTGTGCACAAAAATATATTATGTTTATGAACGTTTATTATGCTTGGTGTCCGCGGAGCTGCGCAATGGATTGTTAATTTCGTCAACGTCGTTCGTCAATCATCGGTCGTCACTGACACAATCACCGCTGAGTACTGAACTATTGGCCACTTGGCAATCAGCATAGGTATAGTACCTACGCACTACGTAGTACGTACAACCTAAAAGTTAAAATACCTATGACAAATATTATCTACGCAACGTAAAACGAATGTAGTTATCTGCKAGCAAGTGGTGGTGGTAGTGTAAGACGTAGGTGGTTACTAACTTTACTGTTTAATGGGTATGGTAAAAGATTAATACAGTAGACAGTAAGTTGTATATAGTTTGTTGTAGCACTGTAGTAACATTATTGTGGTGATTCAGACCGGCGGGGCGGAGAAGTCCACCCCGAATACTCATATACGTATGATAATTTTTCAAAGCGCAGCTGTTCGGCCTCGATTGCAGTGTGACCATGCGTGGGGAAAATAGGAAACGAGCTATGCAGCAGCTGTTAAAATAATTGATTTCATTTTTTAGAAATATTATAGCAGCTATATTGCTATAATAATATTTCTAAAATATAGACAATAGAATAGAGCCTATTAAATTTTAATTATGAATTAGAAGTACACTACCCTTGGACTAGGCTAAACCGGTTTAAAATTATTCCACCCCGAGATAATGAACTATGTAAATTATATTGTGGTCAAAACGTCTTGATGCGTTTTTTTTCATACCGATTTAGCCTAAGCGAATTTCTAAAGGTAGGTAGTTTATACAAATTTAGTGGTATTCTCTATAATATTGTTCTGTGCAATAGAAAAAAGCTTAACAAGCGTTTGAGATTTGGAGGGTGGAGCTAAAACTCTATTAAAATAATATTAAATAAGCAAAAAAATAGGTTTTGAATAAAAATCTCGGTTTTCTATAGCTAATTTGTTTTGTCTTCTTGACGATTTGAAAAACTAAGGATTTCTGAACTTTGAACCACCTCACTCCCAAAAAAATAAAAAGTACTAACTATAGATTCACTTGTCTATCATAAAATGTATGCTGTTGAAGAAAATCGAAGCATTTMTACTATCCCAGAAGGTGATGAAAGAGTGACACAAAAAAATACACGTCATTGTTAAATCAATACATTCATCGTTCCGTCAGAATTTCAAACATTAGTTATATACTTAAATAAATATATACTAAATAATATTAATATATTATAAATACAAAATATTTATTCGCTAAAACCTTCAAGTTACAATAATTTATAAACGTAAATAATTATTACATTATTTTCCAACATTCTATTTTTTATTTAACTTGTTGAGTTAAAAGTTATCAAAAGTAACTTTTTATTTTTTTAACTAGTTTGTAAATCGTAGTTATCTACCATTTGCGTATGTAAGAGGGCCTGTAGCCCACCTCCCTGAAATTACAGTCGTAACTATTAAATATATAGTAGCTTCTAGATGCTAGATCATTTATTATATAGTTGCTATGTATTATAATTTATAGCCTAGCCCGAAAATTATTTCTACATACGTTACTGTTACTTACTGTCTATTATTAGAACCTTAAAATGATAAGACAATCAAAATTTAATATTTTTACATTAAAAAGTAAAATAAATACATGATGTTAGAACACATTTGAAAGTGAAAAAATATAAAGTAGATATCAACAAATAATAAATAGGTTCCTGTTTTTAAACTAAATTAAATAATACCAAAAGTAATTGGTTTACAACTCTATTTAAAATTGTACCTGTTGCAAAAAAAGTGGAATAGTAGATTATACTATATATATTTGGGGATGTGCAGATTTTAGTTATGAGTTATGAGTAAGTCCTTTACAAAAATTAGGACAAAATATTATGTGGATAATAATTATTTTCATGACAAAAACTTTATCACCAAGACATATTAGGTAATAGGTACTAATTGATTGATCGTTGACATAATAACACGTATAATAATGTAGGAAATCAAACAATTGCAAGCACTGCAGCGGTTAAATTCTTTTGTTTTGGCGGTGGCAGTAAAAACTAAAATTGTGTCCCGCTTCATTTTGCCATAACTGCCACAACCACCGCCACCGCTACCGCTGCAGTGTGTGCCGTGTGGCAACCAGCTGAAATCGGATGCTTATAATAATAAATGTGATGTCATTATCATAATCATTAATTTTWAAAATGGTTTCTTGGAAATGATAGGATAATATTTGATTTCTAATTGCCTATGGTAATGGTCTATACTCTATAATATTATAATAATACTTATATTATACAATAATATACTTCGATTACTCCGAATATATTAATTTTTATACATAACTACTTGTTAATTATTACAGGTGTATTATCGATCGTTGCCAGGGGATAAATGAAACCGAAATGGGTAATTCACATCCCAACTGTGGATAGTAATTGATAATAACTAATAAGTAATAAGTAACTTCGTCTTGCGTGAAATAATACTTTTAACGCCGTGTCCTACGTGAATCTGACCTACGCGACGAAAAACAAAGTTTGTATTTTGTCGCATCGACGCATCGTATTGCGACAGAACAGCATGGTCAGAATATAATTCGACATTCGTTCGCACGAGTCGCACCCGTCGGATTCACGTAGGACACGGCGTAAGCAAAAACAGATGAATATGATTTTAATATTATTTATAATGGATAAGCTACCTCATAATAACTGGTTCAATAGTTCATTCTATTATCTAGGTTTTCCTTGAATCGTCAATATCGGTCTAGTATTTTTTGATTCTACATGYCTCAGGCCCTGGCCATACATTTTGCTTTTTATAATTATAATATATACCTATATAATAGGCTATATACGATATACCTATTACATAATGAGTGTTACTCGTTGCTTTTATTCCATTACCTTTACAACCAGCTCGAGATCTCAAAACAGGGACTCGAATACTGTTWTAGTAAAAATYAATCATTCAAAAATAGTATTTATTTTATTATTCTTATCTAATAAAAATAAAATAAAAGTTCAACACTTAAAACGCATGTACTCACAATATTATAAAAACACAGCTTGTGTARCTTCGTCCATACTAAAAATTATAAATATAACTGGTATACAAATGTTACCTAAAATTATAAAAGTTAAATCTCAGTAATTCATTAAGTAGTATAATATGGAATAAACGGATTTATTTATGTCAATAAATCTAAAATATTCAATCCAATTACCAGATTAAGGGCGGGTTGCATAAACGTCCTGTAACTACTTACAGATCTGTAAAATTAGGTGTTGCTTGAACGCTCGGTAAAGTTACCGGCTCTGTAAATTATCGGCTACCGGACCTGTAAACTGCAGATCCGATTTGGGCTCTGTAACTAATTACAGATCGRTTAAAATAATATAATATAATTATTATGATAAGATAAACAAGTTTTACTATCAAAGATTATCAATATTCAA